GAATAATTCAGAATCAAATAATGAATCTAAAGAAAATGAAGAAGAAGTTAATCTGTTATCACAAATCATACTTGAGAAATTGAAATTTTTATCGGAAGGGAAACCAGGTGTATTGCCAGTTCAGTTAATGTCTATTCAATTACAAGTAAATAAAATTCTTATCTCAATTATTTCATTCATAAGAAATAAATAATTATAAAAATATGGTATATTGTATTTCAGACATTATTTGTTGCATGGGAGGCAGGTTGTTTAGAAAAGAATTATTTGCGAAAATGGTTGTGTGACACCAGTCACGAATTGGAACGCTTGGAACAAGATGCGGCACCATCTGGATGGCTATGTCAGTGGGATAGGTATAGTATACCATCTAAAATTTGTGTATTATTTCATATAAATAAACATGAATCGTATCAAGACATACAAGACATCGTGTATGTATACACGTCATTATTTTAAAAATTTTCAAGTCATATAATTTTCGCACGTATCGTTACAGTGAGATATTAAATGGTGAAAACGAATGGTTAAAACTTTTATTTCGAATTAATTTTCTTCATAAAATTATTTTGAATTTGAAAAAAATACATGTCCAAATTTCTTTTGCTTTGAATTTCTTATGTATGTTTAAAATGTAATGTTTAAAAAATTAATAGAAAATTTTTATATTTTTATTAAGAAAACAAAAACTTAATCAATTTGATTTTATCAATTTCAGAGTAAAACTTTACAAAATTTCTTAAAAAGTTTTTAGGATCATTAATTTTACTTATATCCTTAGAAAAAAATATTTAAATCAAATCTAAATTCATTGAAATCTTATATAAATGTGCGAAAGATACCGCGTTATCATAAATAATAATGAAAAGATAGGTCTGTGTTTAGAGTGGAGCCTTAAAGACCATATGTGTATTATATATCTAAAATTTGATGAACAAAATGTATGGAAAAATTAATAAACTGTTAGTGATTTAAAACATGAAGATTATAATATATCCAATATATTTAAATATGTCAAGAAACAAAATTTTAAAGTAACGAAAGAAAACTTATTTCGGCTAAGTGAAGAAACAGAAACTGCATCAAACAGTACAAGTGGATAAAATAATTCATAAAAATATAAAAATCATTAAAAATATAATCATGGAATTTTTAAATTGAAAAAAAAAACATAAATTATGTAACTTAAAAAAGCTACTTACTATCTTAAGGGAATAGATGAAAACAGGGAAGATCGTTGCTGGAAGGAAATATTAAGTGTTAAAAGAAGTTCACATCAAGTTAACTCAAGTTCTTCTTGGATGAAACCTCATGAAGAAACTCAGAATCTCAAGAAATTATATTCGCCGAAAGTTATCGAGTAATTGGAATAACTCAAGGAATACCAAAGTTGTTAGTCGTGTATTAAAATAACAATACTTGTAGACAATCGTAACATATATGTTATAAGAAATTACTTTTTTCTTATATTACATTCTATGTATATATTTTTAATGTCATATATATACGTCATTTGTTTCTTGTTCAAAAAATACATTCCATCATATTTAACAATTTGTTTAAATGTGGCGATTCAAAGATGTTTCCCTTAGTTTCTCAACAAGTGCACATCATCGTATATCTTCGAAAATCATTTTCTGGCCCTTGTGCCTTTAATTACACACATAATCAATTCACTTAATATTTCGCTAGCGTAACGCAGACGTTGTCGACGTAATTCTCAATGTTCGTGTTGCGGAAGACAGCGGCTTCTATGTAACTGCTAAGTAACACTTAATCCTTTTGTAATAAAAGGGCCTCGCTGACTTAATGGCACGCCGAGTTGCAGGTAGGAGTATTAACTGATTGTTTTCTAGCTAATAAATTGCTTCAGAACTCAAGGAGAACGTTCCTTTCATGGAGTAACGTCTCTCTAATGTTTGTTAATGTAAAAAAAGTATTCAAATAAACCTTTTTTATCTATCATTGTATTATATATTTTTGCGGGCTTTTTTCCAGGTCGCATAAGCGATATTATTACCAGAACACTACCACTGGAATTACACAATGGACCTATCCAGATACTAGCATCGCCGGTGGAGCTGAAGAAATGGAAATTTGTTCCACACCTCCTCCAATGGAAGAAATTATTATACCTGGTATAATGAAATTATTATTATAAGTAATTTGTATAATATATATTTCTTTCATATGTATTTATATTTGCCAATAGAAGAAGATGGACTAAGATCAAAGCCAAAGGAATCACAAGAGGGTGGTGAGATAGCTGAAGATATGATAATTCTAAGGAACAATGACATAGAAGCTCCACCTCCACCTCAAATTTCAAACCCAAGCCCCCCTCCGCCACCAAGAATTTATGCAGAAGATTTAAAAAGAGACAAGAGAAAACAAGATAAATGCAATGAAAATTTGAATGATAAAAAACATTTGGGAGAAGGTAAATCTTTGCTAAATAAATTTTTCTTTTAGAATTATCTTATAAAATTTTAAATCTAATTTAATATATTTTCTTTTCTAGAGAGAACAGCAATTACAGAAATAAAGCAATTGGAAAATTCTACTGCATTATCATCTGCCTTATTATCACCTCAATCTTCTAATCTTGTAAAAGTAACTAGCGCGGAACCTCTGCCGCCAGGAGTAGATTTAACCGAAGCACCTTACGAAATATCTGCAACAGCTTTAAAAAGAATTATATATGGTGCTGTGCAACCATCAGGTAGTGCTCTTTATGATACAACTGCAAGAGATCCAACAGTTTCTATTCTAAGTCATCCAGCGGCAATAGTACAAGAACATTATCTTCAATATCCAGCATATCATCAACATTTGCATGCTGTATGTTATTAAATAGATTAATATATAGTAATTATTAATCAGTAAGTTCTACAATTAATTTTTTATATTTGTTAAATAGCCAGCGGCCTTAGTACTTCCACATAAGCATAGTGTGCAGCCTGCAATTCAACTAATACCTGACTATACTCCAATATATACAAATCATAAAGTCATTGAAAAACCGCCAGTTAAAACAGCAAAGGAATCTCTTGTATCTGCTTTAGATTCATTTTATAATGATATTGCACGTATAGAAAATGTCGAAGCAGAAAAAACTTCTCAAAGACAAGAAAATCCAGTGGAAGTGTCTTCTTTATCAATAGAAGAAGTAAAAATGGAAACTGAACAAGAATCTATTCCTTTTGAAACTACTGTAAAAGAAAAAAAAAGAAAAAGGGTAAAATATAATAAAAAATAAAATTATAAATTTCATAAATTATTAATTATGAAAAAAATTAATATTATATTATTATTTCAGACAAGAATCGGTATTAGTAAGAAACATAAAGAAGTGTCTAGTATGGTAGCAAAATGGCAAAAAGTACAACAGAATTTTGAAAATACATAAATTGGTTAGTTAATCTAATATTTAAGTGATATTTTTTTTAAGAAATATATATATATTTTACGTATAAAATTTAATATTATTTTTTTAGCTGCAACTTGGTGATATTTAATTCATTCAACACAAATAGCGCACTATACTTTTTTTAGTATAGTGTTTCTGTACCTGTAATTAATATTATTATCCTATGCACTTTTTTTTTATCTTTAAAATTCAAGAAACTTAACAAACGAAATGTGAAAAATAATGTAAAAATAAACAGTTTCTGATAAATAATGTAAATTTTAGAGTAGAACACATTTTTTTTATTTTTGTGTAGAAAGTATAAATTAATTTGAATGCTCATTAATTATAAAAGAAACATATTATCATGATTTATAAGTATTTGAAATAAAAAAGTATTGTAATTTAATCATATATAATTCTATTATTTTTACGTGTTTAGATTTATATTATATATTTTTCATAATTTAGAATTTTATTAGTCTTCACTGAATCATAAAAGAAAAACGAAGAAAATGACAATCGCAAAAGAAACAGCTAGAAAATTCTACATCGTTACTCTGCTTTATTATATTATTATTACTATGATCTTAACTTTCCAATCTTAAATGAAAAATGATTAAAATTATTTTTGTTTTATAAAGATTGAAAAACAAATAATCGTCTCTTAAAAGTATCGAAAATTATAGATTTCAAATTAATTACATATTTTTAAAATATGTTTATTTTTAAAAGTAGTGATTAATTATTTGTTTAAAATTTTAAAATTAAAATAAAATAAAATATTATGATTATTCTTAAATATTCGTGATTAAAAAATTTTAAGGAAATTACTAAAGAATTCAATATAATTGCAAAAATTTATTTATAATATTATATTCGTTACATAATTTTTTTTGTAATAATATGTATATATGTGATTAATAAAAAAAGAAATATATATATATATATATATTATATAAAAAATAATTGTAAAATTCATAGTTATTTAAATTTCTATTTTTAATTTCAATTCTATAAAAATTTAAATATAATGAGGTTAATAAATGAAATTAAATTATAAATTTTTAATTAAAAAAAATTATTTTATTTAAAGTTTTTAATTTTAAAAATGTTTAAATTTAATAGTTTTTCAAAAGTTTGTCAAAATCATAAGTGAATGGTTATATAATCCAATTTATCATTAGGTAATGTAATAAAAAAAAAATAAAAAATATAATGAGTACTTCAAATATTAATGATAAAAAAATAGTAGCATCTGAATTACGAAAAAAACTTACGCAGGATCCAAATTTAATCAATCCTTGTTTAGAGGTAATATTACTTAATCTTTTAAGGTTATACGATTTCTATTTTTATTTATTAAAAATATTAAAAAAAAAGTTAATTTCAATATTAAATCTTAGAAATTTATAAAGGAATAAATAAATATACATTGTAATTAATAATTTAATAATTTTTGTTAACTTTAGAAGTTCATTAATAGATTATTATTTAATCTTAAAAGTATATACATATACATAATTTGTTTTATTATATATTTTTTTATTTTTCTCAGGAATATAATTTTACTGCAAAATGTTTAGAAAAAAATAAATATGATTATAATAAATGTTTACTATATATTGAAAATTACAAAATCTGCAAAAAATTTTGGGTAATTGTATATGCATTTATTATTATATATAATTATCACATTGAAAAAAATGTTTTACACATTTTATTGATATTTTAGGCAAAGATAATAAACTACCGAAAGATAAAAAATATAAAACCTTATATTCCTTTACCAGAAGAACGACAAAAAATAAAAGCAGAATATTTACAATCACAAAATAAATAATGTCTTTTATATAATTTTGACATACTGAAGAATTTTAGTCATATAATAGATTTAAATTTTTTTATTATTATTATTATAAAGGATTAATTCAGCCTTATTAATTAATAATAATAACTTATAAAAATTTGCTGAAATTTAATAAATTAATATTTTACTAACATGCATATTCATTTGTAAGGTTTATTATAAAATATTTTTTTAAGAATGTATTTATAATTTCTTAATTTATATAAAT